TGATACTTCGATTGAGCACAGAAGAGCTGCGGGCACCCGACATGCTGCAGCAACAAGAATCAGTCCATGCATACGGGGCTCGCTTCAATGAGCAAGATCGACGGAGTATCACCGCTTGCTGCGATGATCACACGCCGTGTGAACGAGGGCTTGGATTGTACAGATCAGGCATTCGCAATTATGGCGTAGCTCCTGTTGGAAATCTAATGCGCCACCGAACGCAGTTTAGCCGAACGTCCACCCAGGTGCAGCCGCCTATCTCCTCGCACTGCTGCTCGCTCTCTGCGGCAGCCGAACAATGGGTAACCAGATCGGCGCCAGTGTCGGTGCCCCCTCCTGCCTTCACTCGAGCGGAGCCAAGGGCTGGCCAAGCTACTACAGTCAAAAACCCTAATAAGGACGCGCGGTAAGGACGCAAGACCCTTGGAAGCCGAAGCTGGGATTTTTGGGGGCGGCGGACGACGAAAACCCCAAGGACGCATGAGCAAGGAAGAGCAAGGACGCAAGGGTACCCTGAGCAAAGTCGCGCGTCCTTTATTAGGGTTTCTGACTGTAGTTCCAACCACAAGAGACTCGACTCTACCTTGTCGGGGGCCACAGTTGAGGCGCGGGTGCATTCGCTGAGCAGTTCAGTGCATGTGGCCAACCTGACGGCAACAAGGCGGCGCAGGCTCATAGCGTATGACAAACGCGCACCATAAACTCATTGAACTGCGCTCCCGCTGAATCGAATCTCTTGCTGTCATGAAAGCGTTGCATTATCATGCTGATTCAGTGGCCGCCCCTACGGTGAATGATCAATTCGTGTCGTCGGCATCCTCACATGATGGATGAACTAGGGTCATGCTGCTCCCGTCGCACTTAAGGACAACCTCCCAGAAACAATTTCGAGCTCCCGGAATAGTGTCGAAACAATGTCGAAACAGTGTCGGACGAGTGTCTCCCAGGGCCCGGCACGTGAAAACCCTCGAGTGTCGGTACTTGTTGGGGGCTGGAATGTTTGTTCTGGTGGTCAAGGCTGACATCGGTTGGAACATCATGAAACTAGGGTGCTGCCTGTCGAGGGGCCAGCAGGAAGAGCCGAATGTCCTCACAGGTGCCTTCGGGGTCTCTACACTCAGTGCTCTAAACATTCTCGACGGCGGCCCAATGTGGGCGTTCTCTTGTTCGGCGTTTAGACATTGGGCCGAAAGGGGTTGGAGGCCTGGAAATGGGAACCAACACCAACACAGGGGGCTGCCTCCACAGGGGGAAGATGATCCTAGATTTCGGCGTTGGTGGTAATATTTCGGTCACCTTGGAAGCCAGGATATTACCACCATCACCGAGATCGGGATCTTCTTCCCTCGGTGGGGGCACACCGCCGATATTGGTGTTGGTGTCAACTAGGGGGGGGGGTCTGGGTCTGGATCCGGACCTCTGCTGAGTGCGGCTGTTTGCAGCAGTGCTCCCGTGGGCAATCCTGTGGGGAGCCGCCCACATGCTCTTGGAGCAGGCGCCAAGAATAGCCAAGATCAACTCCACGGGGGGGGTCGAGGGGGAGGGGGTATCGAGGGCCCGCACCGCCGATCAGCAAAACAATGAATAAGAAAACGATGACCAATCGCCCAAAGCATGCATGTGTTTGGTTCCGTTGTGCCTGCTGGAACTCCGCGGGAGCGTCTCAGCGTTTCCCCAACCCTCTTGGGGACTCTTGCGGCGATCTGGGCGTCTCCCGACGCTGTCTTTGGCAGAAAACTCCCTTGCGGCACTACTATGGCCTCTTAGGGCCACCCGGAGGCCACCGTGGACTGTCGTGGGCAATGTTGGCATCAGTCGGGGTCCTTTCTGCAGCCTCTCGTGGCAATCGCTGGACCTTGGGGGCTCTTGTAGGCCGTTTGGGGGGGTCTGTGGGCCGCTTTGGCCAGTTGTGCTCTCGTCTTGGGTCGTCTTAGGGACTAGATCAGTCCTGGGCTTCGGTCGGGCGTGTCCCCCTACAGGGGGATTTTGGAAAAATTGTCAAAAAGACTAGCAACTTAAACAGAAAGAGTCCCCATACGATTTTTGAATATTTTCCCTGTAGAGGGACAGGCCCGACTTAAGAACAGTCCTGGGCCCGTTCTGGGGGCGTTGGGGCGTTGTGGAGCCCGCCTAGCCCGCCGTGTGCCGTTAGTCTTTGGCCATTTGAAACTATTCTGGGCCGGTTTGCTTTGATAACTGCAAGGCCATCTTGGGCGCTGTGACGACCGCAACCGGACATCTGCGAATACAGTGCGGGCGCAGCAGCAAGAAACCCTCGCAAGAAACCCAGACCCAAAAACCCGTGCGCGAGGAACACCTCAGGGGAAAGCCAAAGCACGCCGAACGCAGCATCTTCTTCCAGTGCTGCGGGAAGTCACCGCGCCGCTCGCGGAGCGAAGAAACCCAGGATGCCCTGACGAAAAGCATACAGTGGGGGCTCGGCCACAAGAAACCTCCACAAGAAACCCAACCCTGAAATCCGCGATCTGCTGGGTAAAAGTCCACACGTGTCGATCGACCATCGTCAAGATCTGATCAGGATCCCATCAAAATCCAAGAAACCCAGGGCACCCTGGCAGAATCCAACTGGCTTCTTGGCACGCGCCCCCACTGTATGGGTTCTTGATGCGCGCCCCCACTGTACACCCTGCGAGATGCTTAAGAAATCATGGGCTAAGAAATTCATCGTCTCAGATCTGGAATAAAAATCCAACATGTCTATTAAAACCTTAGGATTTACGTTGAAACATGAAGAATAATCGAGACTCTGGCCGAAAGTGTAGGTTTTCTTAAGCATCGCCTAAGGTGTACTGCCTCTTGGAGGTACAGTTCACAGGCCTCGTGGGGCAGAAGAGCCATCTGGGGAAAGCACGTTGAGCGCCATCGGGCCTTCGGGGGCTCCCCCGCGGCAGAAACGAGTGGCACGCGCGCCGCGGCGCTTTTTTGGCGCACAGACCAGGAGGGGAAGGGGAAGCAGAAGCTACAAAAACGTCATAAGCGTAAACTTGTGGCGCTCCGATTGGACTTCTTGGATCCGCGCTGGATTTCCCTCCCTGGCGCGCGGAGCGCGCCAGGGGCGGCGCCATCCGCGCGGAGCGCCGATCTTTGGAGAGGGAGAGTGGAGGGGGAAGAAGGGGGGGAGGGGAGCGGCAGGGGAAGGGGAAAGGGAAGGGAAGGGGAGCGGCAGGGGGAGGGGAAGGACGGGGAGGGGAGGGGGGAGGGGAGGGGGGAGGGGGAGGGGAAAGGGGAGGGGGAGGGAAGGAGGGGAAAGGGAAGGAGGGGGCGCGGGCTTGTCGAGCGCGGGGGAGGCGGAGCGGGCGTGCCCGGGCGGATCGGGACGCGTGGGTGAGCCCCACGAAGGCGGCCGAGGCGGCGACGACTTCTCCCTGGGAGCGGGGCCCGCCTCTGGGAACCAGGCGGTGCCCTTGATCCCGAGGGCCACGAGGTTCCAGTGCCGCAGGGCCTCTCGGCTTCCGCTGCCGTCGCCAGCGCCACAGTCGTCCTCGTCCTCCTCCTCGTCCTCATCCTCCTCTGCCTCCTCCTCCTCCTCATCCCCCCACCCTTCCTGCTCCTCCTCCTCCTGCTGCTCCTCATCCTCCTCCACATCGTCCTCCTCGTCCTCCTCCTCGTCCTCCATCTCGCCCTTGTCTCCCTCCTCCGCCTCCTCCTCCTCTTCTTCTGCTTCTGTGTCTTATTCGTATTACTCTTCGTCTCGATATTAGTCACAGTCGTATTCGTCTTGGTGGGCGTATTAGTATTACCATTGTTTTTACTAGCAGTAGTCTTATTATGGTTCGTATTAACATTCGTCTTCTCATGTGTCTTATTCCTCTCCTTCGAATTAGTAATACTGTTATCAGTATTAGTATTCGTATTCGTCTGTTTCTCCGTTGTGTTATGATGATCATTATTCATATGATTCGTCGGATTAGTCATCTTCTTATAATTCGTATCGTTAGTAGTCGTCGTATTGTTCTTATTAGTCTTCGTTTTATGAGTATTAGTATTATTCGTATTATTCGTTTGCTGTGCCTTCTTATGATGTTTATTCGTCGTCTTTTTAGTCTTATTATTCCACTTACTATTAGTATTCTGATTCATCCTCCTCCTCCTCCTCCACCTCCTCCGCCTCCTACCCCCCCCCCTCCTCCTCCTCCTCCTCGTACTCCTCCTCCTCCTCGTCCTCCTCCCTCCTCCCTCCTCCCTCCTCCCTCCTCCCTCCACATCCCTCCTCCGTCTATCCAGGACGCCGTCGGAGGAGTGGAAGACGCAACGAGAAGAAAGGAGAGCAGGGGGGAGCAATGAGGGGCAAGAGGAGGAGGAGGAGGAGGAGTAGGAGGAGCAGGAGGAGGAGGAGATTTGGAGGAGGAGATCTTGAGGAGGAGGAGGAGGAGGAGGAGGAGGAGGAGGAGGAGAGGAAGAGAGGAGAAGGAGGAAGAAATTTATATCCTCCTCCTTCCTCCCCCACTCTGCAACGTCGTGCCCGGGCATATAGGTGCGACCCGCGGCTGCGCTCAGCCCAGCCGGCGCCCCTGCCGGGGGCGCCCGCCCGGGCGGCGGCGGCCGGGTGACGCCCAGTGGCGCCTCGAGAGAGAGGAGGAGGGACAAGGGAGGGGAGAGGGGGGAGAGAGGAAGGGAGGGGAGGGAGGGGAGAGAGGGGAGAGGGGAGAGAGGGAGAGGACTGGGGGGGCGGCAGGGCGAGCCAGGATCAGTGCGAGTGGCCCGGGGCATCCCGTGCCCGTCTCCCCTCCTCGGCGAGAGAGGGGGAGAGGGGGGAGGAGAGAAGGAGGGTGCGGAGGAGGACGAGGGGATCTCGGTTTCGGCGAATGAGGGACTGGTGGAGGCAGGCCGCTTCGTTCAGGCTCCGCCGCATGTTGAACCCGCTGTGCGTCCGTGACTCGTCCACTCCCGATGGATACACGATGCACCACGTGTGCTGAATATTGTTGCACGTGGCCGACAAATTGGCATGCAAAGATCCACCTGCCATTCTGCACTCACTTGAACCAACACCCATGCCAATACGCCATGAAGGAAACTTAGTTCCTGCCATCGTGCGATCCATGTCATTGTGAAAGCTGCATGGAGTCGATGCCACTGAAAAATCGAGAACTGCCACAGACCAGCGGTATCCGATTTCTGCCACGGGAGGAGGACGAAGGAAAATCGCAACAGGAGGAGGACGAGGAAGAGGAAGGTTTGAAAGACGAGGACGACGACGACGACGACGAGAATGTGGGAGGAGAATGACGGACGAGGATGGGCGAGGAGGAGCGAGGAGGAAGAGAAGGTTGGAGGTGATGGGAGGAGGTGGGAGGAGGAGGAGGAGGAATAGGAGGAGGAGGAGGAGGAGGAGGAGGAGGAAGAGGAGGAGGAGGAGGAGGAGGAGGAGGAGGAGAAGAAAAGCCTCCGTGAGCATCTCGAAAGCCGCGGCGTTGATGGGCGGGGTCAGCGCCTGCAGCGGGGGCGGCGGACGAGGAGCCGCAGGAGTGGCAGTACGAGAGGGGGACGAGGGGGGCGAGGGGGGGGAGAGGGAGGCACCGCTTCCGCAAGGAACAGTAGGAGAGAGGGGGGGGGGAGGAAGGGGAGCGGGGAGGGAGCGAGGAGAGGGCGCGGGACAGGGGGGAGGGGGGGGGAGCGGGGGCGAGGAGAGAGACGCCGGAGGCAGGGGGGCGGCGAGGAGGAGGCGGGGAGGAGAGGGGGGGACGAGGCGGGAGAGGCCCGCGGGAGGGCGGAGAAGAGGGAGGGGGAGGCAGATGGGGAGGGGAAGGGAGGGGAGGCGCGCGGTCTCGCCGGCGCTTCGCGCGGGCTCCGCCCGCACCGTCGGCCGGGCCGGCCGAGGAGGTGCCAGTCGCCCTTCGAGTCACGGCCCGCGCGAGGCAGAGGTGCCGGGACGGGTCCACGATCTCGCCGCGGGCCTCCCCCATCCACTTCTCCGCCCCGCCGCCGCCTGCTCCGCCTCCACCTCGCCCCCCCCCCCCCACACATCCCCCTCCTCTTGCTCCTCCAACGACCATCCACCTACATCTCCTCCTTCTCCCTCCTGCTCCTCCTCCTCCTCCTCCTCATCCTCATCCTCCTCTTCCTCCTCCTCCTATTCCTCCTCCTCCTCCTCCTCGTCGTCGTCGTTGTTCTTATTACTCTTCTTATTATTCTATTAGTAGTATTATTGTTATTGTTGTCATTATTAGTGTGGTTATCATGATTACTAACAATATGATTCCTCCTGATCCTCCTCCTCCTCCTCGTCATCCTCCTCCTCTTCCTCCTCCTTCTCCTCCTCCATCTCGTCCTCCTCCCCATCATCATCATCATCATCATCATCATCATCATCATCATCATCATCATCATCATCAGCATCAGCATCACCATCATCATCATCATCATCATCATCATCATCATCGTCATCATCATCATCATCATCAGCAGCAGCAGCAGTATCATCATCATCATCGTCGTCATCATCATCAGCATCATCAGCAGAAGCATCAGCAGTATAAGCATCATCAACATCAACAACCTCAACCTCATCAGTGGCATCAGCATCACCATTATCATCACCAACATCGTCATAACCAGCATGATCGTCATCATCATCATCAGCATCAACAGCATCATCATCATCAGCACCATCACCACCATCATCATCATCATCATCATCAGCAGCATGATCGTCATCATCATCGCCATCAGCATCATCATAATCGTCATCGTCATCAGATGCATCATCAGCAACAGCATCATCACCATCGCCATCATCATCAGCAGCAGCATCATCAGCAGCATCATCATCATGCGCAGCAGCACCAATCATCAGTATCTGCATCAGCACCATCATCAGTATCGGCATCATCATCAGCATCAGCATAAGCATCAGCAGCAGCACCAGCGGCACATCAGCAGCATCAGCACCAGCATCAGCATCCGCATCATCATCATCATGATCATCATCATCATCATCAGCATCATCATCATCATCATCATCACCATCACCATCACCATCACCATCATCATCATCAGCAGCATCAGCATCATCATCATCAGAATCAGCATCATCATCAGATGCATCATCATCATCAGCAGCATCACCATACTATGCATCATCAGCAGCAGCATCATCAGCATCATCATCATCATCAGCATCATCACAGTCACCACCACCATCATCATCATCATCATCATCATCATCATCAGCGACAACATCATACTCATCATAATCATCAGCAGCATCCGCATCATCAGCATCTTCATCGTTATCAGCATCATCCTCATCAGCATCATCATTACCATCATCATCAGCATTATCATCAGCATCATCGGCATCAACATCATCATCATCGTAATCAGCATCGTCGTTATCATCTGCATCGCCATCATCAGCAGAAGCATCATCATACGCCGCCGCCCACTTCGCCTCCTCCTCTCCCTCCTCCTCTTCCTCCTTTTCCTCCTCATCCTCTTCTTCTCTCTCTTCTACGCCGCCGCCATCATCAACAGCAGTATCGTCATCATCATCAGCAGCATCATCACCATCATCAACACAATCAACAACACAATCCTCATCATCATCAGCAACAGCATCAGTATCATCATCCTCATCCTCATCCGAATCCGAATCCTCATCATCATCCCCCTCATCATCATCATCATCATCATCATCATCATCATCATCATCACCATCAGCAGCAGCAGCAGCATCATCATCAGCATCATCATCAGCATCCGCAGCAGCATGATCATACGCCACCGCCGCATCCTTCGCCTCCTCCCTTTCCACCTCTTCCTCCTCCTGCTCCTCCTCCTCCTCCTCTCCTCCTCCCTCTTCCACGCCGCCACCGCCGCCGCCGACACCTACGCCTGCGCCTACCTCCAAAGACGTCCTTGACGGCCTTGGCAACGGCGGCGGCGGCGACGACGGCGGCGCCCGGCGGCGATGCCGACGGCGGCCGCGGCGGCGGCGACGAGGACGCCCCCGTGGCGCGGCGGCGGGGGCGGGCACCGCAGGCGGCGCCCCGCCGCTGCTCCCGAGCAGCCTCGCGAGGGGCAGCACGAAGAGGCCTCGCCGCGGCGCCCGCGGGGCGGCGACCGACGGCCGCGGTCGACGTCGGCGACGGCGGCCGACGACGGCGACGGCCGACGGCCGACGGCGACCAGCGGCGGCAACGGCCGACCACGACGGCGACGAGGAGAACGACGACGATCACGACCACGACCACGACCACGACTACGACGACACTGACGACCACGACGACCACGACGACGACGACGACCACGACGACGACCACAACGACGACGACGACGACGACGACGACGACGACGACGACGACGACGACGACGACGATCACGACGACGACGACGACGACGACGACGACGACGACGACGTCTGGCCGGGGACGGCCTCCTGCGGCGCCGCCGCGCGCCGTCAGGGGCGGCGGCGGGCGACGGCGATGGCGGCGGCGGCAGGCGATCCTGACGCTGGGAGGGACCGCAATTGAGACGACAAGGAATGTGACAATGTCGACGGAGGGGGTGGTGAGAGTTAGGAGGCAACTGCTGGGAGGTTTTCGTCGGAAAGATTAAGGAGGATTAAGCCCCATTTGGGAGCTGTTACGCCGGAATGGGCCTCGGATTAAGCGGGATTAAGCTGGATTAAACGGGATTAAGCGGGATTAAGCGGGATTTAGCTGGATTAAGCCGAATTTCGGACCAGGGCGAAAACAGAATTTGACCTCCCAGGAGTTGCATCTGGGACCGACATCTGGCGCTCTGCCCGAAAGAACCAGCAACAAACGAACCACAACTGAAATCCGAAGACTCCTCGCTCTTCGAGGCCCGCGGGTCGCTCCGCCTGTATGCACCAAACCCTGGGTGTCCGCCCTCTTCGTCTCCGACCATGCCACCCTTGGGGGGTTACAGCTTCCTCGTCTGCCGCGTGTCGCGGTCGCGGCCCCATTAAAAGAGGACGGGCAGAGAGAGAGGGAAAAAACGGAAGAGAGCGAGGCAGGGCCGAGGAAACGAAAAAGGGGGGAAGAGGGAGGAAGCAGGATCAAGGACGACAAAAAAATCAGAAAGAAGGGAAAGAAGGAGAGAGCCAGGGAGGGCCGAGGAAACGAGGAGGGGGGGAAGAGGGAGGAAGGATGACCGGGGACGACGAAAAAAGTTAGCAGGAGGGGGAGGAGCAGGGAATACGGGCGGGCGGGCCATATGAGGGCGGGTCGCCTAGGCCCTGTCCCCACCCCCTCGCCAAGGCCTGTCAGGTCGATCAGGATCTTGTCCAGATCCGCGCTGCCTCCCCTGCCGCCTCCGGCAGCCTCCTCCTCCTCCGCCTCCTCCTCCGCCTCCTCTTCCTCCATCCCTTGTCCCTTTCCTTTCAAATACTTCGTCCTCCTCCTCCTCCTGCTCCTCCTCCTCCTCCTCCTGCTCCTCTTCCTCCTCCTCCTCCTCTGTCGCACCCCCAGACGTATCGGTAGGGCGAGCCAGGCGTTTCGCACGAGACTTCCGAGCGCATCTATGACCCTGAAGCCTGGAAGTTGCAACAGGTTCAACGGTGGAGGGAGGCACGTGCTCAAAATGTTGTTGCTGCCTTAGCGCCGCGCGCATTCTTTGCTAACGTCTGCAACAGATTCAAGGATGGAGGGCAGCTCGGCTTCAAGATGTGGCTCTCGCCGTAGCGAGCGCACGCTCGTCTTGACAGTTTGCAGCACTTTCCGAGATGAAGGGCGGCTCTGTTTCAAATGTTGGTGTTGGCTGAGCGCCGCGCACATTCGTCCAAAAAGTTGCAGCAGGTTCAAGGAACCCGCTGGCACGACGTCGGACTATTACGACGCAATAGTCACGCTGGTTCGCGGTGCCGCAGTCCCATAATGGCGTGTTGGAACGGGTTCGGACTCTCAAAAGATTGTCTTCCAATAGGGCACTTCCCGCAATGAAGACTAAGTATCCTGCCCACCAGTGAAGCGGGGACTTGGAGGGAGGTTTGGCTGTAGCATCCTTGATGCGGTTGGGGTGTACACGAAGCCTTCCTCACTTCTATTCGGGCTGCTACTGCTCCGCCTCGCCCCTCCTCCTCCGAAGCATCCTCCGCATGTTGTTCCTCATCGTCCGTCTGCTCATCATCTCCCCCTCCTCCTCCTCCTCAACATTCCGAAGAATCCTCCTCTTATTCGTCTCAACCTCCTCTTCCTCCTCCTCCTCCTACGCCTCTACCTTCCTCTCAGACTTCGTCTCCTCCTCCTCCTCCCGCCTCCTCCTCCTCCTCCCCCCCTCATCCTCCTCCTCTTCCCACCCCCCTCCCCCTCCTCCTCCTCCTCCTCCTCATCATCATCATTATCTTTGGTATCCTCCTATCCACTGTCACTTCCGCCGCGGTCCGTGGTGGGCGTGCTGGCCCTAGTGCTGGGATCACCTCAGCATACCGCTCATACTATTACACGCTGTCCTATGCCACTGGTCCGCGTTCTCTCCACCCCATCCCCCCGATCCCGCAACAACTCGCCCTCCTCATCCTCCTCACTGCCTAACCTCACTCCCCTGCAGAAGCTCTTAGCCCGTCCCATCCTCACCGTCACCACCGCACAATCACCATCGCCATCAGCAGCATAGTCACCATCCCCGTCAGAGATGCACCATCGCAATCGACAAGAACATCCATATTGTCATGGCCGCTGCAAAGACCGACATCGCAGTCATGAGTTTCACCCGCGAGTCATAGTCATCATCGTAATGAGCTTCATCATCATCAGCATCAGCAGAATCATCAGCCGCATCATCGTCAGCACCATCATCGTCATCATCAGCGGCAGCATCATCACCCGCAGCAGCATCATCACCACCAGCAGCAACATCAGCATCATCAACATTAACATAGTATACCACGACAGTCTCATCAGCAGCCTCAGCATCCTCATCAGCAACAGCATCAGCAACGTCGTCATAATCATCATCGGCTGCACCATCAGCAGCATCAGCCTCGACATAGTCATCAGCAGCATGAACAGCGTCACCACATCAGCAGCAGCATCATAATCATACTCGTACTAAGCATGATCATCGCCACCATCGTCAGCATGATCGTAGTCAGCATCACCACCACCAGCCTCATCATCATGATACGCATCCTCACCATCATCGTCATTATCACCATCACCATCAGCCACAGCATCGTCATCATCATGCGCATCAGCGTTCGCATCATCATCGTCGTTCTCATCATTTTAATCATGCTCATCCTCCCATGGTCCTGACTATGTTCATTCCTATTGTCCTCCTCGCTCATCCATATCCTGTCCGCATAAAGGGGGCCATGCGACCACTGATCTTACTGTAGACGTAAACGAGACGGCAGCCCGAGACACCGTAGCGGCAACAAGAGAGGCTGGACAGAAAGCAAATGACGCGGCAATGCGATCATCATCCCTCCCCCATCACTTCTCTACTTCCTCCCCCTCCTCCCGCAATTATCCCTCAGACCGCTTCGATGTGCTACTCATTGTACTCTTCACCCTTTGCCCCCTCCATCCTGATACACTCCTGCCTCCTGCCTCCCCCCTCCCCCCCCCCATATCCTCCTCCACCTCATCTTCCTCCTCCGACCCTCGTCCCGATGCTGCTCGCCCTCCTCGCCGCTGGCCGTTCCAGTCAGTCTTCCCTACCTCGCCCTCCACCCATCATCCACAGCCGCTCCTGTACCGTCCTACTCTCGTTCCCCAGCTCCTGCCCCCCTACAGGCGGACTTTGGGCGAAAGGATAACAATAGTTAAACAAATGCTCAAATATGTTCTTAGATAGTCAAACAATCGTCCCCAGGCTGCCATGTTTGGACTATGTTTGAACATTCCTACGCCCGACTTGACCTTATCACCGTCATGCCCCGCCCACGCTCACGACCCCCCTTCTCTCGCACCACTCGCGTGCCGTGCCCTCCCCCCCAGGCCACCCGCGTCGGCGAAGAAGCCGATGGCGGAGCGCACGAGGCCTCGCCAGAGCACGCTTCGCCGAGCTCTCGGGGCCAGCAGGATCGGGCATCGCGAACTCGGGCAAAGGCTTCGTGGGGCTCATCATATCTTCAGATCGTTTACCCGATCCCCACCCCCAGCGGCGTGGCCTGGGCCCCACTGGCCGATTTACCCCCCTAGGTGGGGGTACAGGCCGTCCCCTTCGGGTTTCGAGGGGCATGTATCCCCGACTGGGACGGTGATTTGGTGGGGGTCTCGAAGGGGATGGGGATGGGGATCGGTTAACCGACACAGACTCTCAGGGCCAGCAGGATGTGGGAAAGTGTGCTGCCCATGCACTGCGAACTCAGGCAAAGGCTGCGCGAGGCTCATCATATCATGATGCCTTTGTGCATAATAACTAATCGTGCACATCTTGCACAAGGGAAGCCGTAGGGTCCCGACGGAGTGACGATTTACCTCTAGCCATAGCTTTGGTTCCGTCAAGCGGACCTGCTACTATCGGTACGTACAAGCCGGCCAGCAGGATGTGGGAGACCACGCCCAGAGGATTGCGCGATGATCGGATAGAGAAGCAGCACGTAGCAGCGCTATCAAAACTAAAAAACACGAGCACGGCCTCAGACCCACTACAATGCAAACGCACCCTGCGCCTGCATTGTCACATGGTTGGACTGTGGCTGCACCCTGATCTTATTGCAAACGAACGCGCAGCAGGATACACTTGACAGGGGGATCGCGAACGGCAATGAGTAAGGCTCACGAGAATAGAAAAGACTCAAACACATAAACGTAAACTTTTGGCGCTCCGCGCGGATCTCTTGAATCTGCGCCAGGGGCGGCGCCAGAGGCGCCGCCAGGGGGGCCCAGCGCGGATCCAGGAAATCCGCGCGGAGCGCCAAGAGTTTATGTTTGTGTGGTTTTGTCTTCTTCGAAAGAAGAAGAAGGAGCCGACGCGAAGCACAGAGGAAGAGGAACCACGGCTGCAAAGCAAATGTCTCGGAGGCCGCACAGACTGCTTGGATCGACGCTGGGGCGCTGGGCCCCCCCCCTGCCTGGCGCGCAGAGCGCGCCGGGAGCGGCGCCAGAGGCGCCGCCGGGGGGAGCAGGCGCCGATCCAAGGAACCCGCGCGAAGCTCCGAACCTTCATATGCCGGATCTGCGTACTCGAGACGGGGGGCAGCCTTATATCACTGCTCGCTAAGATAGCACCACCACTGTGCTCCCTGCGTCCTGCTGGTTCGCAGACATGGCGCCAAGAGATCCCTTGCCGGCACGGGCGACCAGGTGGGTATTCATCGAGTGCCCACGTGAAGCGTGGCCCAGCTCCCACCCATGCCCAGCTCGACCCGAGGCCCTCCTCTTAATTACCACTCCCTTCCTTCCTTCTCTCCCTCCCCTTGACCTCTTGTGCGTGCTCCCTCTCTTCCCTCTGAAATCCTCCATCCATCCAGCATGCCTGTTTCCTCCCCGAACCAACTTCCCTCCTTCCCTCCCGTCATCATTCCTCCTCCCACCTCTATGTTTACTCCCTCCCCCCCTCCTCTACATGTTACGCTCAACCGTGATAATCAGAATGCGCGGTGAGGATGCAAGGGCCTTGGAGCGCCACGTTGACGTTTTCCGTGCGGAGCGCAGCAGAAGGCCGAAGGATGCCGAATACCGAAGGGGCAAGGATGCAAGGGTAGCCTTGGAGAAAGTAGTTGCCCCATCCTTGCTATCACGGTTGACTGTATTGCTCCTCCGCCCTCCCCCCCCCCCGCACCCGTGCCGACGTCCTTGCGCTGCTGGGCAAAAGGAAGAAAGTCAAGGGACGCACGAGGAGTTCCAGGGACGCACGAGGGCGCCTCTGAAGAGTCCTCTGAAAGCCGACAGCCCTCGAGTAGCCACTCGGCTAGTGAGCGGCTTGGCGACACTGACCCCGAATCGCGGGCCCCCCGCTTTCAGGCTGGGCGCAGGCCTCCCCAGGAAGGCGACACCGACCCCCGGCCGTAGACAGAGCGTAACAGATCGGGCGTGCAGGTGGCAGCATCCCAGTCAGATCCTGCCTGCATACAACAGGCTGTCCCTGGACCCGCCTAGGATGGCTGCGAAGAGGCACGCCTACCGCTGCAAGCGCAGTTGCCCTCGACACTGACGGCGGCAAACAGGCGCCGTGTTGGCCCGGATGCCCATCCCTGTCGATGGGCAGGCATCGGCATTCGCTCCTCCTGCCTAATACTATGATGCCCATCCCTGTCGACTGACAGACATGCGCATCCCACCCTCGCAGTGAAGGTGTTGGTGGGCGGGCCATTCGATATTATCGGCGACCTTATTGACTGACTTGGGTCCCACCAGCAATGGAAATTATTACTTGTCCGCGGCAACCGCCGCACAACAACGACGACGGCGACGACGGCGACGACGACAACGACGAGATAAAGGAGGAGATTGTAATCAACGCGTCTGGCGAAAACTGTGACGATCTAGATTGCGCAATCCTCTTACACACGTGCTCAAATATTCTCTGTCATGCAGGGTCGGTCGCCCAGGGAGCATTTAGCCTCCTCTGGCCTTATCCACCCCGCCCAACAATACAGGGAACATATTTTCCGCCGCGACGACGACGACTACGATTGTGACTACGACTGCAACTGCGACTGCGATTACGACTGCGACCACGACTACGATCACGACTACAATCACGACTACAATCACGACTCAAAAACATCTACAACCACGACTACAAACACTACTACAACCACAACCACCGATTCCTCTTGAAATCTTCATAAGGAGATACTCACACATCCGTTTGCGTGTAGGATCGCCCCCAGTGGATTCTTCCCTGGGAGAAAGAAGCACCCAGCAGTATCCCACCCGCCCATTAGTCGAGGGAACATCCTCTCCGCCGCGACGACGACGACGACGATAACGACCACGATGGGGAATCAGGAGGACGAGCAAGAGGAGACTGAACTGAAGGAGGATGGGGCGGCGGAGGACGAGGAGCAGGAGCAGGAGCAGGGGCACGAGCAGGAGGATGAGGAAGAACGAATTTGCT